GGACGCAAAGGCCGACCAAGTTGAGAGCTGCCTCAATTTGGGGAGAGAACTCTTGCCCAGGGACGGCACATCAGAGCTAGGTAAGTATTTTGCGTAAGACTGGCGATCACCCGAATCAGTATCAGGCAGGCACGAGACGATGGGTATAAGAAAAGGTCGGCGTAAGACTTTATTTATAAAAGGAAATATTTACAACGCAGAACTAATCAACCTCCTCCATACAAGCGTCATCCCCTGAGCCATCAGCTGGGACCGCAACTGGCTCGGACTCGGGGACTGAAGGAATCTCATCGGCGGGGATATCGAGGCACATACTGACGAGCTGATGGATCCTGTTTGCGAAGATCTTAGGATCGTCTAAGGTGAAGCCTGAAGATAAGAGAGAAGTCTCGAATAGCATGAGGATGAGATCTTTGGCCATCTTATTGGACTCGTCAGACTCGAGAGACGCCTTTAATGCAGTCATTATTTTATGGTGCGGATTTACTTCAAGGTGCTTTTTGGCTGCCATGTAGCCCATTGTGCTGGTGTCGCGCAAGGCCTGCGCCTTCATAATGCGCTCCATGTTTGCCGACCAGCCGAAGGTAGAGGTGACGATGCAGCAGGGGGACGTAGTTAGGCGGTTGGATACCGTGACTTTCTCGACCCTCTTGCCGAGAAGTTCCTGCATCTTTTTGCAGACGGGCTCAAACTGAGACTTGAGTTCCTCGAACTTCTTTTTTTCTGCTTCATCTTCGGGCAATTCCAGACCCTCTTTGGTGACACAGACAAGCTTTTTGCCTTCAAAATCGCGCATCTGTGTGACTGCGTACTCATCGATTGGGTCAAGCATGTAGAGGACCTCAAAGCCTCGCTTGGTGAGGACCTCTGTAAAAGCGGAATTGCCGACAGCATCTTTCGACTCACCGGTAATGTAGTAAATATCTTTCTGATTCTCCTTCATGCGTGATACGTAATCCTTCAGACTCGTCATTTCATCGCCGCTTTGACTAGAGAAGTACCTGAGGAGATCTGACAGCTTCTTGCGATTGATGCCATCTTCGTGGATCCCGAGCTTTATGTTCTTGCTAAATTGCTCGTAAAACTTCTTGTAGTTTTCGTGATCCTCGGCTATCTCTTCGAACAATTCAATGCACTTTTTCACCAG